GTGATCGGATTTTTAAATTATTATAAACCCCTAATTAAACTATAGGTGATCAGTGGGTAGCACCTGCTGTACACATTGCTGTAAAGTACTTCTATTTAGTCTACGGAAATACTCAAAAAGAACCATTTGTAATGTATGAGTTATCCCTCATATCTATGATGCGTTATCCCTCATATCTGCCCAAAGGTGCAACTACACAAAGTTATGTAACTGGCTTGAGTGGGTGGGGATACAAAGTAGGTAGTACAACAGCCGTCTACATGTGTTATGTCAGTGTACATGTGTTTACAATGTATTAAATAACAATCAACGATTGGTTTACATAGCATGGGATGTCCTACACGTTAACAACCTTGCACCTAATGCCCGACAGTGAGATCTTCTGGGCACCAGCCTTAGCAAAAACTGATTTATGACCCCTTGCTTAGTGGGAGGTGAAAGAGCTACCGATACCACTCCTGGCCTTGACAACAACAAAACCAAGTCAGTGAGAAATTAGTACAACGATCTTTCTTACCCAACTATTCCTTCAGAGTAGTTCCTTGTCTTCCATGGAGTACTCGTGTAATCATTGTAGCCTCCTGTGTTGGAGCCGCTGCCATTGATCAAGAGGCTGGCATTGAATCCGAAAGTGCTAGCTTTGTTGTCTCTTTTCCTTTTGTTGGGGTGTCCATCTGTCAACCCCCTCCACAGAACAGCTACCCCGCTGCCCTGCTGCCCCCCTCCGACACCGCCCCTACCACCAGCTCGGTTGTTGTGGTTGCTGTTTCTTTCCAGTGGTATAAAGTCCCGCTGTTCGGTGCTTATTCCCCCGTCCCCCATTGGGGTGGACATTCCCTGAGTCCTGGCCTCACCGCCGCTGGAGTCCAGTGCCCCGTTCCTGCCGGTAAGGACGGCACACGGCGCTCCGTTCACACTCGCCGTGCTCTGGGATCCACTGGTGAAGCTGTTATTAACGCGCAAGTAGCTGAGCCCCTGTGTCGTCTCCCAGATCTGCATCCACAGGTTGTTAGCGGGTCCGCGTTGTTCTGGCTGAAACCAGGCGATTCTCGGATCCATCAAACGCCAGTGTAGGCACACCACCCCCCACCCTCCACCGAGCAACGCTCAGCTCGTGTGCAGAGAGCTAGCCAGCCTGCTAGCTGCCTGCTTTAGCCTCACTACAGAGCTGCTGCTGCCGGCCCGGGTCTTCGGCTGCCCGATACTTTCAGGATTCGGTAGAAACACGCTCTTACGAGGCGACGACACTCGGCCCTTTCACAATCATGAATTTAGACAAATTCAGGCGAGTGTGAGTTAAGTGTTAAAAACCACCGTTAAGACTAAAGTTGAGTTTTCGAGCTTGAAAAAACGTGTGACTGCTGCCTGTCGGAGTGCCTCTGACCCTTTCTCGCTGATCGTGGGTCGCTCAATGTCGG